AACTCTCTTTGAGGTTAGACTACTTTCATATAATCATAAATACTTACAAAATGATGTTTTAATCCAGCATAACTGATGTATATCATATTACTAATCCATAATGAAGGTTTTGTTGGTAGTTAGCTTCCTTATTCTTGATTGCTTACTTTAACTTTTTCTCGTTCTATTTCTTCAAAACAAATATTCATGCGTATTACTTTTTAAGAGTGCTATTTTTTATATTTAATCATCATTTATCATTGCTTTAATATTTTCAATAAATACTTTATGAGCAAATACAGAAAACATATATGCGACTTTATTGAGGATGTGGGTGTTTTTGTAACAAAAAAGGGACATTAACATCCGCACGTCCACACTCATGCGATTCTTTTCCTTTTTATAAAAGACACTCGCGTTTTTAAAAATCAGAATGACGTCATTTGTACAACGTTACTATTAACAAACATGCACTATCCACTGGATTCATTTTGAAAGAGTGTGAATATTTGCATGAGTGTGAGCATAGATGTAATTGTATTAAGAGAAGACTGACACAAAGTTTGAAGCCTTAAGCATAATAGGTATTGTAACGGAAAACGATTTTAGTAGTTATTAAATGTCAAAAAGCATCATAATCTTGTTGATTATCCAAAATTATATATTCAGTAATATTCTGAAAAGTCTAACTGCTGTTGGTGGAGATATATAAATAATGTTTTTACACAACATCGTCCTAAAACAAGTGAACCTTATGAGCCTCAGTTTCTGATTTTTCTGAAAATGCTTCGACAACATATAAGAACTCTCTAAAAACAGATGCTGTAGTGAACTTTAAAAAGTTCTACATTTGTGTACCATTTTAAGAACCATTAAAGGTTCAAGCAGAGCATGGTTCTATCACACACTTCTTTTGCCTACTTCAAAAACTGCTTCTAGATGGAGAAGAAACATCAATTTATCATTTTTAGCTCTGTGCTGTCGATATTATTCAGATTTTCTTTGAAAACCTAGCTAACGCTAATAGGCCACCCCATCTCTTGTCAATGAGCTCGCAAAATATCACACCTAGAAAAGAATCTTTACGATTCAGTTCAGTATTAAACTTATCCAGACCTGTTGCAGGTAGACCAACACCGAACATTCTCAGTTCTCTTCCAGGCAAGCCGATATTTCTTGTGTGTACGACTCTAAATGGAAGAAACAACAATTCATAGTAAAACACAGACCTTATCGTTGAAGTTTTATTTCTCATAATTATACAGAAAAAAAAAATTACAATTCAATGTTTTAAACGAAATCTTCCTTTCCAGTTCTGAATTCCAATGTACCTAAACAGAAATATGAGATAGTTTATTTTCTAAAATCAAATTTTACTTCCAGTTTTTATTTATCATTAACCTAAATAGAATAAAACAAACAATTTGTTATACAAAATTAAATGTTATCTTTTAATTGGTCATTCCCATAAACTTCGATAGGAAAAAAATGGTCAAAAAAATGAGGTCCAAACTGCGTAAACTCCAAATTTAGAGGTCACTTCGCGACAGTCTATATTTTACCATAATCTGCAGTCCATATTTCTCTTAAGGATTCTCCTATGGGAGTACCTATGAGTTCTCAACTGCTATCTAGGAATGCACCGAACCCGGGTACGTAGCGGAATTTCCGAGTTCGGTCATTCCCAGGATTCGATCACTTCCGGGATTCAACCAATACTAAGTTTCGTCTCAACCTAAATCTTTTGTTAAATATAATAGTCTCATTATCCGATAGATTTGATAAGGAAATTTCTAGCAAAGCTAAATCGAGGTCGGAGAATCCGAATCTGAAGTCGTCAGATTTTAAAAGTTTTGTGACTCCATCTTTGTGATTAGTTCTGTTCAAAACTTCTGATATTTATGAAAAACAGATATTGGTAGAAACCTTAAGGAAAATATTTGAAATTCTCGAACTAGATTTTTCAATCTATTCAATAAGCTTACTCTAGATCTTTCCTGACAGACAGGAAGGCCGAATTTCTGGTTTCGGTATCCTTGAGTACAGTAGCTTCCGAGTACCAAGATTCTCTGACTTAGTCAATTACAGAGTTCATAGATCATTAAGAACTAATACAGTGCGCATATATATCATTAATTCATAGAGATTTTACAGAAAAAAAATGCTAACTTTCAAATTCACTGAGGAAAATTTATCGTGTTGGAAAAAGTTACTTTTCGCTTTTTTGTACACTGAAATAAAACTCAATACTCACACCTTTTAATTTTATTTAGTTTGCTATTCTTTTGATGATCAGTACCTATTATGAAGAACTACCTTTTTTATGAAATATCTAAGGAAAACAAGCGTTTCGACTCGGGAAATTAAATCATAAAAAAATGGTATTTCGGACCATGCAAGAGAAAAAAATGCATGTATTTTAAATTCATCGATGAAAATGAACATTTTCATCAATCTAATGCGATTATTTTAATTTTTAATGAAAACCATCGTATGAGATTGATAAAAATGTTCATTTTTATCCATGGATTTCATATAAACACATTGTTTTGTGTCCTTTCATCTCCGAAATAGCAATTTTTTTCGTGTTTTTTATTTTGAATTCATGAAAGTCATGTGCTTTTTTTCAGTTTTTACCCTCTAGGGTGTCTGAAAGAATACCATAAGATTAAATTGGCCATTTTTCTGCTTAAAAGTACTCATACTAATCAATAGTTTATAGATATATAGGATTATACTAGTAATAGAATGTATAACTCTCTTAACGTTTAAATTTCGAAGATGTAATTCTCCCACGACGAGGAATTAATTTACATTTCTTGAATACTTTATTAAATCTACAATTTTAAAAAGATTAAACTTGAAAGTAAATTTAAAAGTTTTGATTATAACATAAAGTTAATTTTTCTTGAAACTGAATTCCAAACGGCTAAAGTATAGAGTAGTATAGGGTTTTCAACTATATGTACATCCTATGTAGTTGACTTGCAATTTTTATTTCGAAAAGAACTTCTTGTAGAAGTTAATATCAATGATCTGAGTCTCTTTTTATCTTAGTTTTGAATTCGAATTCTTAGCAATTCATTTCCAAAACAACACTTTTTATTTTTTAAATGAAGTCTTCTCAAATATATTGGATA